TAATAATATCAATCATCCGTGGAAGCTGTTAAATCTCTAGGCGCTGTTAAGTTTCTTGATCACGTAGTCACAGTGCTCACAGTACAACAATGGCGGCGATTTATGATATCATATATTAAGCTCTAGGGCACTGCGGCAGTATACTGGCAGTCCATAGTGGAACGAATTTTTTACCAGTGAGAGCACTGAGCAGTGCTCGCAGTATATATCGGAACACGACCATCATGACCAGTGAGACAAGTACAAAGTCACCTGTGAAACTGGGGTCGCTGGTTGTCCATAGACCAAATGGGTTTGCCATTCCATTGGACTATAAGAGTGAAGGGATAGAGTGCACCTGTGCTTGCGCACTCACTCGTGCACTATAATCTATAGTTTTAAGTTTGCTTTGAGACTGTACGCCGTAATCCTCGATCTGAAGGACATTATTATACTCCATGTATCGGCAGCCAAAACATCTTTTTCAGGCAGCTATCAGGCATTCCTCCAAGTTGCTTTTTAAAACTCACATGTAATGAAACTGTTCCTTTTATGCTGCTTCCACGCTAAAGGTATATTGAAACATTGGTATACAAATATCGGCAACGAGGTTCGCCACCCGTCACGTCCTGTCTCCCGGAGGGGCGAAAAGTGGACTGCGGAGGCCCGTCTGGCTACGCTAAATGTATGTGGAGCAATGCATGATAAGATAGATGAAATATGCGAAATGATGAATGATAGAGGAATAGATGTGTTATGTGTGAACGAGACGAAACGAAAGGGAAGAGATGTCACTGCACATGGCATGTATACCGCTTACTGGTCTGGAGTAGACGAGACCGAGCGGGCATGCCAGGGAGTCGGTGTCATCCTTTTAGAACGAATTGGTCAATGTGTGAAAGAGTATGAATGTATAAGCCCAAGGCTGCTGTGGATACGAATGAAAGTGGGCTTAAAGAAGTTGTTTGTGCTAGGGGTGTACACCCCAGATATGTCTAAGCCCACTTATATCCGAGAGCAGTTTTGGGACATGGTAAGGCTGGTGTTGATGAAATGTAAGGAAAATGAAAATATTATTTTGTTAGGAGATTTTAAAGGAAGGGTTGGCGTGAAGAGGTCTGGTTATGAAAGGATATTAGGAACGTTTGGCGATGAAAGAATAAATGAGAATAGTGAAGACCTCCTCACCGTATGGGTGGAAAAGAATATTTTTGTGGCGTACACTTTCTTTTGCCATAAAAGGATTCACATGTATACATGGGAAAGAGGGGATGATAGAAGCATGATAGATTACATAATTGTGGATGAAAGAATGAGGAGCGCAGTGGTAGATATAAGGGTTTACCGGGGGTCCAACGTAGGGACGGATCATTACTAGGTCTTATGCCGAATTAATGGTTTATTCAGACGTTGGCGGCGTCGGACATCTGTGTCTACCACTGCGTTACAGTGTATAAGAATAGAGAGGTAAAAGTAAAAGTAAATCATTCTTTACTCTGTAAGAAATTAGCTGTGTCGGGAATTCATGGAAATCTACTACGCTGGGTTCATTCGTACCTCGATAACAGAAGCCAACTTGTCGCTCTCAAAGGTTTCATGTCATCACCTGTCACAGTTAAATCTGGTGTTCCTCAGGGTTCACATCTCGGTCCTTTATTTTTATAAGTTTTATAAACGATCTGATTTGCAAACTGTTCAGTCCTTGCCTTCTATATACAGACGACTTGAAAATATACCGTGTGATACAGCACTTTTCTGACTGCGGTAAACTACAAGATGATATAGATTCAATATATGAATGGTGCCGGCTTAACGGTATGCACCTCAATGTTAAAAGATGTTTTGTTATAACGTTCACTAATAAGAGATATAAACAGACTTATGACTATAAAATTAACGAAGATTCATTAGACAGGAAAACGGTAGTTAAAGACCTAGGTGTGCTATTTGACTCTAAATTAACATTTCGTGAGCACTATGCGTACATTAAAAACAAAGCATTCCAGTTACTAGGTTTCATAACGAGAATCACTAAGGGCTTCAAACGGCCTCAAAGCTTCCTGACCGTTTATTGTAGTCTTGTTCGTAGCATTCTTGAATATGCTTGTGTCATTTGGTCTCCCTGCTACACGGTCCATTCAGATAGTATAGAAAGCGTCCAAAAAATAACTCTCAGAATACTTAGCTACAAATGTGGGTTTGCTCGTAATCTAGTTAGTTATAGTGAATTACTCGACAAATTTAAAGTGACCACCTTACTTATTCTCTATAATAAGATTGATTCCGATTACATCTTAAGTAAATTAAACTTAACTACAAAGCGCAATCCCCGAATTCCTAACAAGACATTTTACCTGCAGACTTATAAGAATAATACTTCCTTTTATAACCCGATAGTAAGAATGTGTCGACTTTACAACGAGATATCCATGAAAAGCTCCGGCATGGATGTTTTTGACCCAAGATCCAGGATATTCAAAAGAGCAGTGAAACAGTATACACTTATGCACACTCATTCCCATATTACATAGGTTTTAAGTTTCTTATTTGTATATTTTTATTTTTTTGTTTACTGTAATTATGTATGTCATAAACATTGTAAAGCGTAGAGTTGATCTCCTGTATTTCATCTAAAAATGATGTGTCAACATATTTAGGATAACAATCTGGCACAAAACTGTTATATTTTTATTATATTGTAATGTATTTTGATTGTTATCTGTTTTGTTGTCCATATAATAAATAAATAAATAAATAGAGATTACAAGATGAAGGTGTGAAAGAGAAGTATAAATACAGACTGAGGGAAAATATAAGTGGGTTGAATGAATTATGTATGAATGATTTAGACTTGAAGGATGTATGGAATAATATTAAGAAAGTTTTGGTGGATGCAGCTACCGAAGTATGTGGTGTAAGTAAGAGAACGAATGAAAGGAAAAGTAATACGTTGTGGTGGGATGATGAGGTACGGATGGAAGTTGAAGCAAAGAAGAGAGCATGGCTAGATTTACTAGCAACTAAAGCTGGTAATTCTAGCGGTATGAATGATGAGATTGAAAGAAAAAAGGCAGACTTTAGACGTATAAATAAGAGAGTAAAAGAAATTGTTGAAAGGAAACAGCAAGAAAGGATAAATAAGAATGATAGAAGGATATCTGATAACTTCCAAGCAAACATTAAAATGTTCTGGAAGCTCTTAAGAACTGCCAGGGGAAATTCAAAACAACCTAGAATGAATGCTATACGAGACGAGAATGGCTGCATGCTGAATGATGAAGTTTCGAATTTAAAGAGATGGAAAGAATACTTTGAAAGCGTGTTTAAGAATGAAGAGTCGTCTGAAGTAAGTGGAATAGTAATTCCGGAAGAAGTGGAGAGAGGTAGGGAGAGGTTTAGATGAAATAATGAAAGCAATGAAAAGCATGAAAGCAGGTAAGGCAGCCGGATATGATAGAATATCACTCGAAATGCTAAGGGCTGGAGAGGGTGTGGTTGCAGGTCTGCTGTACACCGTGTTTAATTTATATTGGGAACTAAAGCGAGTACCGGAAGACTGGTGCAAAGCCGTTATAGTCCCAATATATAAGGGAAAGGGCTCGCAGCAGGACTGTAAAAACTACCGTGGTATCAGCTTGTTTAGCATTATGGGTAAACTGTATGCTAAGGTGTTAATTGAAAGAGTTATGGAAGAGACTGATGGAAAAAATTTGGGATGTGCAAGCTGGATTTAGAAAGGGAATGGGGTGTACGGATCAAGTCTTTTCCATGCGCATGATAGCGGAGAAGTTTTTGGCCAAAAACCAGAAAGTTTTTTTGTGCGTTCATGGACTTGGAAAAGGCTTATGACAGAGTGGACAGGAATGTGTTATGGCAAACACTGAACTCATTTGGATTGAGCGTTGGCTTGATACAGGCATTAAGGTCTCTTTATAGAGACTCTAGTGCTTGTGTTAGGATCAACGGGGTCTACTCAGACTGGTTTGGAATTCATAAAGGTGTCAGACAGGGATGTGTGGCTTCCCCGTGGCTGTTTAACCTATTTATGGACAGTTGTTTGCAAACTTTGAAAGTTGAAGAATGTGGGTTGAGAATGGGTGAGTCAACCGTCCAATGCCTTTTGTACGCCGATGATTAAGTCATATTTGCATCGTCGGCGGCCGAGTTGCAAATGATGGTTACTTTAATGAACTGGTCATTGAAAGAAAGGGGTATGAAAGTGAAATCAAGTAAGACGAAAGTAATGGTGTTTGAAAGAGAAGAAAGTAAAACGTTATGTGAAATAAGAATAGAAGTGGAGTTGATTGAGCAAGTGGATGAGTATATTTGGGATGTTTATTTAGCAGGGATGGTAGATATGATAAGGATATAGAACGACGAGTGAACGCAGGAAATAGAGTGAATGGGGCTCTACACGCTATTATGAGGAGTCAGAATGTGTCAAATAAGGCACGTATAGCAATTCATAATGCTGTGTTAGTCCCTACTTTAATGTATGGTAGTGAAAGTTGGGTCTGGCAGAAGAAGCATGAGAGTAGAATAAATGCTGTAGAAATGCGGTCCTTAAGGACTATGCTAGGACTGAATCTGAATGACAAGGTGAGAAATAATGTGATAAGAGAAAAGTGTGGTTTGCAAGATGACGTTGCGACAAGGATTAAGAAAGTAATGCTTCGGTGGTTTGGTCATATAGAAAGAATGGACGAGGAAAGAGTGACAAAGCAAATTTATGTTGCAGAAGTGAACGGCAGGGTCGGGCAGGGAGGCCCTAGCCGAAGTTTTATCGACCAAATCGGCGATACATTAAAAATGGGCCAGATTAGGAGTACCCTTTACCGACGAGCGTGTATGCGTAGATATATGGATGTAAAGGAGGCGAGAGAGGTGTGTCAGGATCGCGCCAAATGGAAGTCCGTAGTCTCTGCCTATCCCTCCGGGTGACAGGCGTGAGTGTTTATGTATTATGTATGTATGCATGTATGGTATACAAATATATTTACAAATATTTACATCATTAACAGCAAGTTACGGCAGTCTATGTACGGGCATGTCGATGGGATGGACGTCGCCCGTGCTGCCTCAACTGCGAGGTCCAGGCTCCCCTTTGCCACACGTACCAACGCTGCAAGAAGAGTCGTGGATAGGATCGCTTCTCTTGCTCGGCGGACTTTTAGGTAAGATATATCTCTATCTAGATGTAAACCTACATCTACTATTATCATTTTTATTTAAAACACGTGACTTTTTGAGATTAATAGAATTATGCATTACTTTGTGGAAATGTTTTCTTTTTATAAAACTAAGGATCACAATCAAGCCCACAGTCTACTTCATGATAAGTGGATACCGTGACTCACAGATACCTACATCTATTCTCGATTTCTACATAGTCACAGAATAAATAATAGCACACATAGTATAAAACAAAGTCGCTTCCCGCCGTCTGTACGCTTAGATCTTTTAAACTACGCAACGGATTTTGATACGGTTTTTATCAATAGACAGAATGATTCAAGAGAAAATTTTATATGTATAACACATGCATATTATTTATTATATATTTCTTCTGTCCGTGTGTATGTTGTCCTAAACAGCTGGACCGATTTTGATGAAATTTTGTCTGTGGGATTAAGTTGATTACAGAATGGCTTAGATTCACAATTGGACCCGGTAGGCGGCGTTGTTGTCGAGATCCAGAAATCAACCATGCGAAGCCGGGGCCGATCGCTAGTACATTATATTTAAGATGCTAAAATAAATTAGCTAAGATCCGCGTGAAACTAAAAATAGTGTCCATATATATAAAAACACCTCTCTCCCTCCTTTAGTTGCGTGCCCACCACTATCACTCCCACCACTACACTGAAAAAATACGCCTCCGTTGAAAATAACAAGTTTTACGCCTCTAAACTAGTCATCATCAGGATACTCTGAGCTGTGCATTATATTCAGTGAGTGGGTGTGTTGTCAAGTGTTTGCTGCACTGGATGCGGTCAAGTCGTAGGATCTGGCACCGGGATGCCCCGGCCCAGAGATGAGAACGGTATTCCATGTGAGGCCGAATTTACGCTTTGTAAAGTTGCAAGCGACGTGCCGGCATGAAATACAGTCTCACTCTGCTGAGCAAGCCAAGCTTTTTAGAGACCAATTTGGTCTTCCCTTCCAAGTGACCACGAAACAAGTGTTACGCCTCTAAACTAGTCATCATCAGGATACTCTGCGCTGCGCATCATATTAAGTGAGAGGGTGTCAAGTGATTGCGTGATGCATAGAGATTTATTCAATGACACTAATCAATAATGGCGTAACCTTGAAAAAGGGCATATAATATAAAAAGTTTTAAAAGATCGGTGTGTAAATTAAGAAAATACTAAAAAACTTATCTACCATTTTCTCTATCATTCTCACTTGCCCACCTTGCTGTCTGAAATCTGAAAATAACTGACTGACGGCAAAATATCTCATCATCATCATCATTACAGCCCTTCACAAGTCCACCGCTGAACATAAGCCTCCCCCAAGGAATGTCACAAAACACGGTCTTGAGCCACCTGCATCCATCGGCTTCCTGCATGTCTTACCAGGTTGTTACTCCATCTAGTAGGGGGACGCTCTACACTTCGTCCGCCGGTACGAGGCCGCCACTCGAGAACATTTTTTCCCCATCGGTTGTCGGTTCTTCGAGCTATATGGCCGGCCCATTGCCATTTCAGCTAACTAATCCGTTGGACTATGTCAGTCACTCTGGTTCTACTGCGGATATCCTCATTTCTAAGTTTATCACGCAGAGAAACTCCGAGCATAGCCCTCTCCATAGCTCGCTGAGCAACCTTGAGCTTCCTCATCCGGCCAGCATTGAAGGACCACGTCTCAGTTCCATAGGTCATCACTGGCAACACGCACTGGTTGTATAGTCTCGTTTTCAAGTTTTGAGGTATACCTGACGAGAAGATGTGCCGTGATTTCCCGAACGCTGCCCAACCGAGTTGAATCCGTCGATTGACATCTCGTTCGAAGTTGGACTTAGTCAGACTTAGTCAAACTACTTGTCCCAGGTAAACATACTCGTCAACAACTTCGAGCTTAGTGCTTCCAACAACTATCGGCATAGGTGTGACGTGGACATTAAACATGATCTTTGTTTTGTCCATGTTCATCTTAAGACCTATCCGTAGATTCTGCCATAAGGACTATATCGTCGGCAAATCGAAGGTGACTGATGTACTCGCCATTGATGTTAATACCGTATCCTTTCCAGTCCAGTAGCTTGAAAACGTCATCCAACGCAGCGGTGAAGAGTTTCAGGGATATAACGTCGCCCGGTCTTACACCTCTCTGCAGTTGGATAGGTTTCGTACTCTGGTTCTATACTCGGATTGCCATCGTAGCCCTACTGTACAAACACTTCAGCACTTCGATATACCGATAGTCAACTTGGCACCGCTGAAGGGACTGTAGCACCGCCCAAATTTCGACGGAATCAAAGGCTTTTTCATAGTCCACATACGCAAGGCAAAGTGGCAGATTGTACTCTTCTGTCTTCTGTACAATTTGCCGAAGAGTGTGTATGTGGTCTGTGGTACTAAAGCCTTTTCGGAAACCGGCTTGTTCGGGAGGCTGGAAGTCGTCAAGTCTGCGCGCGAGACAATTCATAATGACTCTCGAATACAGCACGTAGACGCGACTTAGAAGGGAAACCGGTCTGTAGTTCTTCAAGAAAGCGTTATTGCCTTTCTTGAAGAATAAGACCACCGCACTTCTGCTCCACACCTCTGGAGTAGTGCCACCATGGAAGACGGAATTAAAGAGCTTCTGAAGGACTTCAAGTACCGATTTTCCACCCGCTTTCGGAAGCTCCGCTGTAATCCCATCCTCGCCCGGGGACTTGCCGTTTTTAAGTTGCTGGAGAGCCATTCTAATCTCGCTCAGACTGACGTCCGGAATATCTTCGGAATAGTGTCGGATAAGACTCGCTCTTGGATCGTTACTCACACTTGCGTGTGGCTCCAACGATGACGTGTACAGCTGCTCATAGAACCTCCCAATCTCACTCAAAATTTCAGGTATACCTGAAAACGATGCTGCCACACTCGGTCTTCAGCTTTGACAATTGGCTCTTTCTGGCAGACAGATCTCTGATAAAGACTTTGGAGCCTTGGTTCCACTCGATGGCTTCTTCAATACAAGCTGTATTGAAGTTGCCTAAGTCCTGCCGCATGCATTTGCAGATCTGTCTGTTCAGTTGCCTGTATGCTGTCAAATCTGTTGAAGACTGCAGCTTCATTTCCCGTCTAACAGCCATGAGATTACGAGTGTGATCGGAGAGTTTTTGTGTTCTTCTGCGGCGGGTATTGCAGAACTTAGCTCCGACCATATGGACAGTTTCCACGAGCTTATCATTTATATCATCCACTTCATTGCTGTCTTCTAGGCACTGAAAACGGTTTTGTAACTCGAGCTGAAAGGTTTCAGGGCTTTGGACTAGAGCACGAAGCGGATGGAGCGTTGACTTCATTAGACGTGACCTCTCCAACTTAACGTTTAGGTTCAGTGTGCCTTTAACCATTCGGTGATCGCTATCAGTTTTCACCCTCGCGATCACGGAGACATCACTGAACAGTTGTGGTCTGGGCGTCATAATGAAGTCAATCTCATTTTTTGTCGAACCGTTGGGGTTCGAACAGGTCCACTTCCTACGGGGCCTCTTCTGAAAGAAAGAGTTCATCATAAAGAGTCCCTCTTTCTCCATGAAGTCGGCCAGCTGCTGGCCCGTTGGGTTCCGTTGCCCTATTCCGAATTTTCCTACTTTCAGCTCACCGTTCTCTCTTGTGCCTAGTTTTGCATTGAAGTGTCCCATTAACACCGTATAGTGGGTTTTGGAGGAATGCAGGGCTCTAGAGATATCCTCATACATTTCCTCCACCTCCTGATCGGGGTGTGTCGAGGTTGGTGCGTAAACCTGTATGACCTACCACGAATATCGTTTGGTGATTCTGAGTATAAGTTAAGCAACCCTCGTCGACACACTCCCAATCTTTACAACATTGTTAACGAGAGACTTGTGGACAATAAATCCGACACCTCTTTGGGACAGATGTCGAAGGAGAGATGTCTATAGGCAACAGCATCCACTTACCATCAAGGTGGACTTTGTGGTAGAATGTCACCCTTATTCTATAAAAAAATATCTTAGAAAGAAAATATTCCGGGGACATATAAAGGCCGCCAACATGCATTGGATCAGCGGGCTGAACTAATTGCACTCTATAGACACCATCTCAAAGATGAAAGATGGTCGTAGGCCCACCCCATCCCAAGTACAAACTGGTTATAGGGAGATGTATTTCCGATATGTATGAATATTGATTATGCGCTTATAAATACGCTTGCCGACTGCCTGACGTGATAAGTGGCGGTTAAGTCTTTATAATGAATTAGGTACTTTACACATTCTTACAAACATGGAGTATAGAGTAGAAGGAGAACCATCTCATATGGGGGGAAAGTTGAAAAAGTGTCCAATTTTATACAGAAAATAAAGGTTTTAAACCTACCACAATAGCGCTGGCGTCTGAAAAACTACGATATGAATATAGCTGTTGTAGACGGAGTGAAGTCAACTGAATTCAAATATTTAAAAAATTTCATAGTTAGTAAAATGCCAGTATACAAAACCTCAACTATTTACGTAGTACAAAACCAAGCGGATTGGTCGGTCCTTGTTTATTTCTCCATCTTATTCTAATTACATTTTGGCGCTTTTTTTTTTATTTATCTTGCTACCGCAGCGCCACCCTCATTGGACGCGTTTTTACGGAAACTTATTCTTACAGAGATGGAAACTTATTCTTATACACAGATGGTCCTGCTTCTACTCTATACTCCATGCTTACAAAGTACCACGTCGACAATCAACTCATGGACAATTGATAAAGAAGATGAAAGATGTTGGTTTTGTTTAAATTTTCAAATGTATTCTTTTCCAGGACCTCTGATAACAATTCCTTTGTCGAGGTACGTAGGTCGTAAGTGGATTATAATGGGCGCGAACATCCCTCTCCTGCTGGGCTGGTTGTTGGCTGGCGTCGCTACAAATGTACACACATTGTACGTCGCGAGGCTGGCGTGGGGATGCGCTACCGGGATGCTGTTCGCAATGGTCCCTATTTACATTGGGGAGATCGCTGAGGTGAAATTGATTCTCTATCTCTATTTAATCTTTGTTAAGAGGTTGAAGAACTCTGAACTGAATTTTCGGCTGCATGCACTATTCCTGCTCCTCCATCTTGCGCCCTGCGTTTAAATCACAGCTGAAGTCAACATTTGAGCAAACCCACAAATTTTGGATTACATGACTAGACGTGTTTTGACACTACATACGAGCTTTCCATCAATATTATTATGTAACCGTTACATGAGATACGGTAACGGTTAGTGTTTTGGCCAAACAAGTCAATATACCCACTTTGTCTTGCTTCGGGCCTTCGATAATGCTCGAAGTTGTAGCATTGCTTAAGTTTGAGCAAGATAACAGCTTTTAAAAAAAACCATTATCTGTGTCAGTTTCCTAGACCACATAACTTCGGAGTTTTCAAAAAATTTTATCGGAATGTACTTATAGTTTACATTTTTGTGAAGTCACGTTGCGGGGATATACGTCCTCTTATTTCATAGCGTTTTCCTAGGAGAAAATGTCCACAGATAATTTGAATCTTCGAAATATTTTTAATTTTGCAAACATACGATTTTCCCCATAATTATATATCACCCCCAGGCACGTGGTAAATCAGCGCTTAAAATTTAATGTAGTTGTGGAGATTAGTTACGTATGTCAAATACTCCTTAAGTTATGTGTTACCGCTTTTTTGTTGTTATAGAATGAAGGTAACAAACGAGCATACAGTGCACTTGATGGTATATGGATGCTGCTATCCATAAATATCAAAATGCAGATGCGCACACCTGAAGACTAATATGGATACCTCATTTCCAGCAAAAAGGTTCTCGGGTTCTCTACACTCACCATAAGAAAAACAGTAGTATTAAGCTGTTATATTACGCTGGTATTTTATGATAACGTGGTCCTTCCCCGGTCGGGTCGACCCATTCGTTGTACAACCACAATATAGCTGCAGCGTGGGTCTTCCAATAATATTCAGTGACAGCGCGGTCCTAAATAGAGCTAAGAGCTACCACGGCTCCATGACCCCGCAATTTGTGTCTTTAAATATTTTCTCTTTTTCAGGACAAAATTCGAGGCGCTTTAAGTGCCTTTTTCCTTCTCTTCATTAATGTGGGCTTCCTACTGGCTTACACAATCGGTCCCTTCACTTCCTACTGGGGACTCACGGCTACAGGTGGCATTTTATCGCTCTTCTATGTACCCTGTACTTGGTTCATTCCGGAAACACCGTTTTTCTTAGTCTACAAAGGTATGTGTAAATACTTTCGACATTCTAAAAGAATTTACTTAGATTAATGCAATTTGTCATAAGTACAAAACATAGAGTTATGCAAATACAGCCGTAAGGTTACATTACAAATTTTCGGCTTAAATTTAGATGAGAGTAGAGATTAGGGAGTAGAAGAGGGATTTAAAAAAAATATGATCACCTTAGTACTTTACATTTAGGTAGAGCCGTGGTGGCTCAGTAGTTAAGCTAATTTACAGCGAGCTGTAAATTTCACAGTAGGCGAGTTACACGCACTCGATCGCCACCGGCAGCAATGAAATTGTTAATTGCAATGTTAAGCGCTGATTTACCACGTGCTCAGCGGTGAAGGAAAACATTGTAAGGAAACCTGCTGAGAACTAAGAAAAAAATAATATTTCGAAGAACATGTGAAATTTGCCAACAAGCATTGGGGCAGCGCGGCGGACATTTTCTTACCCTAAAACCCTCTCAGAAATGAGGGGAGGCCTGTGCCCAGCAGTAAGACGTATATAGGCTGTAACTTAGTAGTTTAGTAGGACATTAATAAAGTCAGATATTAATAAACAAGTCCAAAGGTAAAAATAGTAATTAAAAAAACCCGACTACGTTTACTGAAAAAAGAAAAGTTATATATTCTATTATATTTCTGCAACTAAGACAATTCTAACGACATACCATATGTTAAAATCCGTTTAGGCTACAGAGCGTGCCAAAGAAATAGACATACATAAATACATACTAGTACACTCGAAAAATATTACGCTCCTTCTGAGGCAGTCGGGTAAAAAGCGCTTAGAAGCAATATTTAATAAATACACAATACCTGTGCATGGCAAACACTTCTTTCTACTACTTACTTATATTATGTAAAATATTCGCATTTTAAACCTTAATTATATTTGTATTAAGGCTTTGTTATTTTTAACTGGATTCATCTAAACTTTAAACAATTGACCTTTCTCGTGAAAATTTTGTTATCTAATAAAACTTCTCTCTAATTAATTATAGTATTGATTTCTTAAATTGTCTACTTCACTTTACAGGCCGCATCGATGACGCTTCCGAGGTTTTGCAGAAGTTACGAGGAACCAGCAAGGATAGAGTTCAGTCAGAGTTAGATGCACTACAGGTTATGGTCGCGAGAGAGTACAAAGTGGAGCCTAGCATTACGGACCTCTGGGCTACGAAGGGAAACGTTAAGGCTTTAGGTGAGTATGAATCTAATCCAAACTATATTTTTATTTTAGCCGACTTTGAAAATAAGAACTGACTAAGTGTGTACTCGCTCATGAATGGTTCCGTACTATCACATACGTTTCTAGTAGCCCGCTTTAATTTATAATATTTTATTTTATTTATTTTTTGTTATAGCGGTAACAGAAATACACATTCTGTGAAATTTTCAATTGTCTATCTATTACGGTTCATGAGATATACAGCCCACTGAAAAACACTTGGTTACTCTTTGGGTACCCTACAACCTACAACTACAAACCCCTAACCCTACAACTGAAATTCTCAATTCAATTGTGTTTTGTTTTATTTTATTTTTGTATGTTACGCGATATTATTTTCAATTGAGAATTCCATTTTATTTATTCTTTTTTTTAAAGTTGTACTGCAGGGGTAGTCACAAATAAATTTAGAGAAAGAATTCCATCCTAATGTTAAAAACATATTGGTTGAAGTTTTTTATGCAACAATCAAGACAACATTCTAGTTGTCTTGAGTTTGTTTAAAAGGGACATTATTCTATTGAATAATAATGGCAAACGAGCACATGGTTCACCTTATATTAAGTGAAGCTGCGGCCCATAGACCTAGAGGTGTCCACCCTGAGGACTAAGATGGAATGCCTCGTTTCCAGTAAAAAAGGTCACCGGTCTACACTCATCATTTTTTTATAGGATAAGCGTGACAAACGAGCACACAGTCCACCTGATGATAAGTGGTTGCAGTATCCCATAGACATCTACATCTATCCTCGTTTGCGAATAAAATGCAGATGCGTTGTCAGCCGTGAGGACTAAGATGGAATGCCTCTTTTTCAGTAAAAAGGGTCTCTGGTTCTCTACACTCCATCATACGAAACACAGCAGCATTAAGCTGCTATTTTACGCTGGTATTCTGTGAGAGCTTGGTCCTACCCCAGTCGAGACGAACCATTCATGCTACAACCATAATATAGCTACAGCGTGGCTCTACCACGTAATCACATATTATAATTTATCTTTTAATAAAAAAAAAACTGATTTTGAAGAGCTAAACACAGAAAATAATTTTGACTAAATAGCTTCATTTCTTCTTCTCTTCTTTCTTCTTACAATGTGTGTAAGCACCGACTTCTAAAGCAATAGCTTTAAAAATAAAAATAGTTTTATTTAAGTATTTTAGTTGTTTTAAGTCGGTTGTTGTTGTTTTTCCACTGGCAGATAGCTGATGTCACAAGAAGTGCCTTAGGCTACATTTATTTTAGAAAAAGAATTAGAGTTCCACGCAAAAAAAATAAAAACTCCAAATAACACGCGGGCAAAGTCGCGGGGAAGAGCTAGTATTACATATATTTTGTATGGGCACACACACGCTATACCGAGCGGCAACCGAGTGACGGCCGAGCAACGGACAACGTTCGGAAACAACTCGGTCCCGGCCTGGCTCGGACATTTCCTTGTAGTTGAAGATTCTTCATCGTCTAGAGTGATCGCAATAGCCGCTAATTCCAGATCGTCAAAATTCAACATGATTGTAGTCTAGTTACAACACTATTTTTGCTCGGACGAGTATACTGCATCACGGCGCAACTGTAATGGTCCCCTGTATATAGTATATTATCTATGGGTAATGGCTCGGTCGAGGCCCGTCTTTGCAATTACAGGCACGGGACCGGCTCGGTGACCGTGCTACGGCCGACACTCGGCTCGGACCCATAGATTACTAATCTGTGGCTCGGACCCGACACGGTCTATCGTGAGTCATTCTTTAAGCGCACAGATGACGGGAAGTGACTATGTTTTATACTATTTAGAGATCGAGGATAGACGTACTGTATCTGTGAGTCACAGTATACACTTATCATCAAGTAGACTGTGGGCTTGATTGTGACCCTTAGTTTTATAAAAAAAATCATCAAATAGTTAATGGCTAAAGAAATAATCACCCCCATTTCCTTCCGGGACGAGATGAGACTATGGGAACGAGGGCATCCACGACTTTTCTGCCACCAGGGCGGCGCCACTAGAAACTGAGGTATAATATTTGACAGATTTCTTAGCGGGGAAGTTAATTTGTTCCGAAAATGTAAAGGTTAATGTTTATTTCTATATAATTAGCTATATTTTATAATAATTAGATTAAAAATTAAAAAACTAAGCCAACTAAGCTAACAGATATTCATAAAAGTAAAAATATTTAAAAAAAGTTAAAAATGTGCAAAAAACTAAAGAGCAAACCACTGACGTATTGTTTTGTGTAACATAATACTCTAGAAACTGATAAACTTTTATTAAAAAACAATTTCTCAATTAACTGACATTTTGTAACAAAAAACTTTACCTAAGTGTCAACTAGCGACATCTGGTGAACAGAAAATTATTAGCCCTCATTACCAAAGTATCTTATGTTTTCCGTTGAATGGCTTTATACCATCTCGTTTATGTCAGTCGTATTATACCTTGACTGGCGACGGATAGCAGCGTTAAAGGTAAGAGATGTGCGATATATAACATAATAGCGATCCGCCCCGACTTCGCACGGGTCATTTATCTCGACAACAGCGCCACCTACCCAGTCCAACTGTGAATCTAAATCATCTTTTTTTAAAGGGACTAGGGACTAATTAACTAGGGGCCCGTTCAATCACACACAATAAAAACCATCACAACCGGTCGAGCCGTTTTTGAGTTTTAGCGAGACTAACAGACAGCAACTGATGTTAATAGAAAGAGATAATATATAAATATTATTTATATAGATATGTAATGATACCGCGATAGTCAATCCGCCCGCCATTAAGGCATACCCTAATGTGAAGGGTCTAGGTCCAGCTGTGGACATTAAAGATGATGAAACAGAAGATACCGTGATATTCTTACAGGGCCACTACACACGCGTGTAGTGATGGTGTAAGAATATCCACTACCCCATATCCTCCCGCAGGTGTCGTAAGAGGCGACAGAGGGAAACAAATCAGCAGATGGACATCATATTTTTGATAAAAACTCCAAATTATAAAAAACTGCTGTAGCCGTCCCGCCTACCAAACGTGGCAACTATGGCAAAATCCCTCCTATGAGGCAATCTATGGAGGAGACTTATGTTCACCAACGGACTTTTATAGTCTGTAATGGATGGATGGAGGGATGGATGGATGAATGGAATGGAAACAGAAGATGAAGATATGTAAGCTGTACTACTGTATAATGTTTAACCTCAACCTCATTAGTATATAAATTTTTTCAGGTATCTGCGTGTTTTTAGCCATGCTGCTCCAGCTATCTGGGATAGACGTGCTTCTATTTTATATGGAAGAGTTGCTAGTGAAAGTTGGAACTAGAATATCAGCTTCCGATGGAACCATCATCATGGGTGTCGTTCAGGTGAGAATATCTTTATACAGCGTTCAAAAGGAATTGTCTCAAGAACGATCCTGTTGCGATGTTCTTCCTTTCTATCAACATTAAAGAGAGAGACTTTAGTTTACACACTGCCTTTTTAATGAAGATGCTTCCTTCGCTTCGACTTATTGATTTTTATAATTTAAGTAGAACAGTTTTTCTAAAATTTACGTCCCCTTTTTCAACAGCTGTCAAGCTCAAGTCTGTAGACGTTAGAGTTAATTTTTAATAACTTCTTAACCAAGATATCAAAGGTTCACTGTCCAGCCTAGAGTTGTCCAACTTACCTCTGTATTACCCGCTAATCTGAGATGGATATGGGCATTAAGTATATAACGAGAATTAATAGGATATCGGGGCTGCAAGGAATTTTAAGAATAGGGTTTTTAACTATCTCTTGCTATCGCATGGTTTCCGAACGACCAAACTACCGAAAAACCACACAACCGAAAGACAACTTGACGAAATGATCATCCAGTATTCCTCTGTTTCCTCCTCGAAGACTGGACCAATTTTTTTTCAAGGACAATATAAAAACTATTAATGCTATACATAAAATAATGGTTACGAACGAGCCACCGCATACAGTCCACCTGATGGTAAGTGGATACTGTAGCCCACATCTACCCTCGGCTACGAATAGACATCTACATCTACCCTCGGCTAAGAATAAAAATTCAGATACTCGGACACCTCTGAAGACTGAGATGGAATGCTTCGTTACCAGAAAAAAGGGTCACAGATACTGTTTCATGTTGGTATTCTGTGAGATTGTTGTTCTACCCCGGACGAGCCGACCAATAAGTAATTTTAGATATTTTAAGAGGTTTCTATTTTTTTAAATATCTATTTATGGAAAAAACAAAACAAACGAACATGGCAGTGGTAGATAAAGATTATATAGTAAAAAATATTTATTTTAAAAATATCATCCAGAGAGACACCAAAATTATACGGTTTTTTTTATAGGATAGGGTGACAAACGAGCACACAGTCCACCTGATGGTAAGTGGTTACTGTGACCCGTAGACATCTACATCTATCCTCAATAAACAATCAAGATGCATATGCGTTGTCACCCGTGAGGACTAAGATGGAATACCTCTTTGCCAGTAAAAAGGGTCTCCGGTTCTCTACACTCACCATACGAAACACAGCAGCGTTAAGCTGCTATTTTACGCTGGTTTTCTGTGAGAGCGTGGTCCTTCCCCGGTCAACGACCCATTCGTGCTACAACTATACTACTAATATAGCTGCAGCATGACTCTACCACGTATGTATATTCATATAAACTAAACGCCACCCGGACCTTGTAGACAATCAAGAATAGATATAGGTTTCCTTGGTACACTGTATCCACTTACTACCCAAACGTGGCAGGCACATCACACAATAACACTACACCCACACCAAATGGGACAAGCACAAATAGAATAACAGATGGAGCACTTCGCACCCGTAGGCGGGCATAACGCATTCCAGCACACACCGCGTACAAACCGTACAAACGCGTACCTGAGTGGTACCTGGTTCCCTCCGCCCAGAATTTCAACCGATACGAGCTAAGCGACCGCTTAGCTCTGACTAAAGCCGGTGGTCTCACCCACTCAGACAGCGGTTAGATAGCTCAAAAACCCCCACAGAGGAGACATGACAATTGGTAACAATACCAAATCATAAACCATCTACATCTTCATCGTTGCCTTTTCCTTTTTTTAAACAAACTAAAAGGCCGTGAGCCCTGTATCAGATGAAGCTGTAAAAGCCAAATAGGCGAACAGCACAAGCTTATATCTATACAAATAAATAAAATTGAAGTGTCTGTTTGTAATGTCAAAATAACAGCTTTTTAATAATTGCATATAAAAGTATATATGGTACCTATAACAGAAACACAGTTTCTAAAATTTTTGTCTGTCTGTCCGTCCGTCTGTCTGTCTGTCTGTTTGTTCCGGCTAATCTCCGAAACGGCTGGACCGATTTTCACTGGTAGATAGCTCATGTTATAAGGAGTAACTTAGGCTACTTATATTTTTGAAAAATAATTAGGGTGCCGCGCAACGAAATTAAAACCCTAAATTACACGCGGGCGAAGTCGCGGGGAACAGCTAGTCATAGAATAAAGATAAAGATAGTTACTTACCATCTATGTGCTCGTTTGTCACCCTAATTTACAAAGAAAAAAGTAATTTATTTACTCTTTTTTTTTCATTTAAGGTAGTGACCAGTTGTATCACACCTCTGGTAGTGGACCGACTCGGCAGAAAATTTTTAATGTGGACGACGTCCCTTGGATTAACTATATTTTTAGTAAGTGCAATTTTTTATTTAGATTCTTATAACCGCCTTCAAAGTCACTTAATGGACCGCTATCTCATTTACATCTATATATAAAAAGGTAAAGTTAACGCGTAGTGTTAACGCCGTAAGAGAACCAACCCATTTCATCCCGTGGATTTTGGTCTGTAGAAGTGTTACTTCCGGTTTGGGTTAGAGCCCGAAGACTTCAGTGTAGTAAGCAGACACTCAGACCACTAGACCGTGGTCGTCATTTATTTGTCTTATTTTTCTACCGATTTCAAAAAGGAGACGGTACTCAATTCGACTGTATGTTTTTTTATGTGTGTTACTTCATAACTTTTTACTGGGAGAACGGATTTCGATGATTCTTTTTTTATTTGAAAGATGGTACTTCTCATATTGTCCCATATGAATTTGATCAAGGTCTGACCAATAGTTTTTGACTTATTCTTAATCTTTTATATTGAAGTCGGTTGTACAAAATTTTTAATTTTTGATTATTTTTTAATTTACTAACGTGTCCTCATTGCTTGCTGTTAATGTAGACTATAATCGGAATCTACGCGCTGCTCGACACGCACTACAAATACGACGTGACACATGTCGCCTTTATCCCGCTGCTCTGCCTCGTCATCTACATGGTGCTGTTCACATTAGGTGAGTGATTTTTTTAATCACGCAGCGAACAATTACTTTACTGTTGGGTTATGGATATTCCTTCCATCCAACCATTACAGCCTATAAAATTCACTGGTGAACATACGTCTCTTCTATAGATTGCCTCATATGGGACATTTTACCATAGTTGGCACGTATGGCACAGTATTTTTATCATTTTAGTTGAAATCAGGAAAATGCTGCAGCCCATCTCTTGTTTCAGTTTTACTTTGTCGCCTGTTATGACACCTATGAGATTGTAATACGGGGTAGTGAATATTGCCTGCCACTACAGTTAGTTATAGTTTGAATATGGTAGGTCTTTACAATAACGCCCCAATAGGCAGAAATAACATTAAAGATTAGTTCAAACTCACCACACTGGGTAAGCGGGCTGGTGAGAGAGATACCATAGCACTGGTAAATGCTGCTCATTCACCAGTCTGTGGAATTTGGGATCGAAATTTACGTACTTATTTGCTTACTTCATCATGTTCATCATCAACAGCCCTTCCAAAGTCCACTTCTGAACACAGTTATCCCGCAAGGAATGCCACAAAGCACAGTCCTGAGCCACCTGCATCCTTCGTCGTCACTCCATATGGTGAGTTAGGGTTTTTAGGACTCGTAGGTCTCCGTCTGGGTAAGCACCACCTTCTTACGTATTTATACCGCTAAATAGCAGTGTATGCACTGCTGTGAAGCGATCTGAATGGTTTTAAAGAGCCAGAATAATTTCCAGGCTGTGAGGCATTCCATCTTAGTCCTCTAGGGTGACGCACCTGTAGGCTACAGGTTGGTCTTTGTTTTAAATTGGCTGCAGGTGTTCACCGACTGCAGTAGCCACTTACCATCGTTTGGACTTTCAGTTCGTTTGTCACTTTTATTTAAAAAAAAATTGTATATTATTTACATTAGTATTAGTATTGTACGCACTAAGTTTGTCTTTTTAATATATTTTCCTTTGTGGGTTTACTGGAAGATATTTCAGCAAATTATGGAATAAGTAGAGCCTTTGCACAAACACACTACTATAAGACTGTTTCTGTATCTTGTTGTGTGTACATAAATAAATTAAAAAAAATAACAGCGTGTGTTTGCCCTTACCTATAACGTAAGGCAAGACAGCAGAAAGCATTTGACGGAGCATTAACATGACGTCATGACAAACACAGGCTGTTGTGCCTGGCCGTTGTAATGACCTGAGTAGTAGAAGATTGAAATGTATGAAAAAAGTATCGCCTTCCACGTCCCAGTAACACAAGAGGTGTGTTTTTCATACACGCCAGTCGCTTCGCCGTTTCGAATGCTTTTACTTAATTCTTACCCTTGTTCTCAATTCTTAAGTACTGACGAAATGATTGCGAAACAGGTGTGGGTCCAGTACCTTGGATATTAGTAGCGGAAATGTTTCCTGTGAAGACGAAATGTCTCGCCAGTGGTATAGCCTCATTCATGTGTTGGTTAGCTGGATTTGTTTGGACTAGGTTTGTATTATTTAATTATACCTGTACCTTTTTATAATATAAAAGTTATTATCAAAGTTCGTACCTATTTCTGCCGCCAAGTTGCGTGACTGAGCCGCTGTGTTCCAATCTGATGGATATAGAAAGCCATCAAAATTATAGTCTGTGATCTGGGACCAATTTCATCTTGATCCTCGGAAGGGGCAACGCACCTATAGTGTTCTTTACTTGAGTTTGTTTGCAAGCGTATATGGACTACTAACTATCAGGTGGACTATAATTTTTTTTATAGGATAAGGGTGACAAACGAGCCCACCACCTGATGGTAAGTGGTTGTTGTGGCCCATAGACATCTACATCTACCCTCGATTACGAATCAAAATGCAGATGCGTTGTCACCCGGACTAAGAAGGAATGCCTCATTTCCAGTAAAAATGGTCTCCGGTTCTCTACACTCACTATACGAAACACAGCAGCATTAAGCTGCTATTTTACGCTGGTATTCTGTGAGAGCGTGGTCCTCCCCCGGTCGAGCCGACCCATTCGTGCTACAGCTATACCAGAAATATAGCTGCAGCATGGCTCTACCACGTGTAAATAATATAATATAATTCCGTTTGTCACTTCAATTTAATACCCGATAAAGCGTATAGTGGCTAAAGAGCGAATGAGTCGACTTATCCGGAGTTGGACCATATTTACACAGAATACCAGTGTAAAATATATAGTATAGTGCTTAAAGAGCGAATGGATTCGCTTATCCGGAGTTGGACCACATTTACACAGAATACCAGTGTAAAATATATAGTATAGTGCCTAAAGAGCGAATGGATTCGCTTATCCGGAGTTGAACCACATTTACACTGAATACCAGTGTAAAACATATAGTATAGTGCTTAAAGAGCGAATGGATTCGCTTATCCGGAGTTGGACCACATTTACACAGAATACCAGTGTAAAATATATAGTATAGTGCTTAAAGAGCGAATGGATTCGCTTATCCGGAGTTGGACCACATTTACACAGAGTACCAGTGTAAAATATATAGTATAGTGCCTAAAGAGCGAATGGATTCGCTTATCCGAAGTTGGACCACATTTACACTGAATACTAGTGTAAAATATATAGTATAGTGCCTAAAGAGCGAATGGATTCGCTTATCCGGAGTTGGACCATATTTACACAGAATACCAGTGTAAAATATATAGTATAGTGCCTAAAGAGCGAATGGATTCGCTTATCCGGAGTTGGACCACATTTACACAGAATACCAGTGTAAAATATATAGTATAGTGCCTAAAAAGCGAATGGATTCGCTTATCCGGAGTTGGACAACATTTACACAGAATACCAGTGTAAAATATATAGTATAGTGCCTAAAAAGCGAATGGATTCGCTTATCCGGAGTTGGACAACATTTACACAGAATACCAGTGTAAAATATATAGTATAGGGCCTAAAGAGCGAATGGATTCGCTTATCCGGAGTTGGACAACATTTACACAGAATACCAGTGTAAAATATATAGTATAGTGCCTAAAGAGCGATTGGATTCGCTTATCCGGAGTTGGACCACATTTACACAGAATGCCAGTGTAAAATATATAGTATAGTGCCTAAAAAGCGAATGGATTCGCTTATCCGGAGTTGGACAACATTTACACAGAATACCAGTGTAAAATATATAGTATAGTGCCTAAAGAGCGAATGGATTCGCTTATCCGGAGTTGGACAACATTTACACAGAATACCAGTGTAAAATATATAGTATAGTGCCTAAAGAGCGAATGGATTCGCTTATCCGGAGTTGGACCACATTTACACAGAATACCAGTGTAAAATATATAGTATAGTGCCTAAAGAGCGAATGGATTCGCTTATCCGGAGTTGGACCACATTTACACAGAATACCAGTGTAAAATATATAGTATAGTACCTAAAGAGCGAATGGATTCGCTTATCCGGAGTTGGACAACATTTACACAGAATACCAGTGTAAAATATATAGTATAGTGCCTAAAGAGCGAATGAATTCGCTTATCCGGAGTTGGACAACATTTACACAGAATACCAGTGTAAAATATATAGTATAGTGCCTAAAAAGCGAATGGATTCGCTTATCCGGAGTTGGACAACATTTACACAGAATACCAGTGTAAAATATATAGTATAGTGCCTAAAGAGCGAATGGATTCGCTTATCCGGAGTTGGACAACATTTACACAGAATACCAGTGTAAAATATATAGTATAGTGCCTAAAGAGCGATTGGATTCGCTTATCCGGAGTTGGACCACATTTACACAGAATGCCAGTGTAAAATATATAGTATAGTGCCTAAAAAGCGAATGGATTCGCTTATCCGGAGTTGGACAACATTTACACAGAATACCAGTGTAAAATATATAGTATAGTGCCTAAAGAGCGAATGGATTCGCTTATCCGGAGTTGGACAACATTTACACAGAATACCAGTGTAAAATATATAGTATAGTGCCTAAAGAGCGAATGGATTCGCTTATCCGGAGTTGGACCACATTTACACAGAATAGCATTGTAAAATATATAGTATAGTGCCTAAAGAGCGAATGGATTCGCTCATCCGGAGTTGGATCACATTTATACATAATACCAGTGTAAAATATATACTCGTAGTACTGTAGCTAAAGAGCGAATGGGTCGGTTTATCCGGAGATGGACCGACCACGTTTATGCAGAATACCAGTGTAAAATACATAATATAGTGTCTAAGCAGCAAATAGGTTGGCTTATCCATGAATGGGTTGGTTTATTCGGAAATGTACCACATTTACACAGAGTACCAGTGTAAAATAGTAGCATAATACTGCTGTATTTGATATGGTGAGTGACAAGAACCGGAGATTTTTTGTATTGGTAAAGATGCATTCCAATTTAGTTATCAGGGGTGGTAGGTACCACCTTTGGGTAAGTAGCTGTAGATCTCACGACTCTCTAGTTCTGGCTAGTTGCCAAGTAGGTTTCTCTATCTTGTTGTTTGTAAATAAATAAATAAAAATGCAAGGTGATGATTTAGAAAATACTTTAACATAAAGGCATATATACAGACAAACATAGTGTCCTTAGTGATCTAAGAATGATTATATTATAAAATGACTTAACTTTGACATGGACGTATAAAAACCTCCGTGGACTTTTTATGGATCAAAAACTCTCATTAACGTAATATACTTATAACGATAATGCGCGCGATATCCCTTGATACATGTATCACAAGACAATTGTATCCTAATGAATGCACATAAATACTTTGAAACGAGCTGTAATACCACAGTTTTAAGACAGTTCCCGGTGGTTGTTAAGCGAACTTTTCTATTTTGTTTATTATACTTATTACTTTTAGATTTTTCCGAGATGTTGCAGCTTCGTACGGCATCTACACTGCGTTCTGGATACTAGCGATTTGCTGCGGATTCGGTTTCATATTCTCTGTCAGTCCTCTACTACCAGAGACTAAGGGCAAAACATTTGATGAGATTCAGGATATGCTGAATAACAGGTGATTATCTTTTTATATTTTTACAATGTATACTTCTTTTAATTTCATAAAAATGTCCATCGCCTCTTTTCATCCTGTAACTGTGGTAAGAAGGTACCTACTTTAGAAAAGACCAGAAAGATTTATTATCCTATCTTATCTATCCTTCGATAAATGACTGCATTCCTTTTCGTATATGATTGATGTAAAACACTCAAGTGTCAAGGGCTATAGTAAACTCTACCGAGAGCTCCGTATACTCGTAGATTGCGCATTAGGCGATCACACACCATATATCTTATAGGAAAGGTCATGCACGGCAGTGAAATAATTATAGGGTGATGAGGTGATAGGAAACTTGAATATTAAGGATCGCCCTTCAAAGACTTAAGTATGTTATTATTGTTAAATGTAAATTATTTATTGCGCCCGAGACGTAGCACGCGGAATTTTGGGAATGAAAGTCAGCTTCCTTTATATTTTTAAGTTTACATAATTTGCGCACACACTTGCCGTAAGACGACATAAGGATAAAGATAAAAATATATTATATTATTTCAAAGACCAGAAGACCTTTGAAAATGGGGTTTTGGTTTGAGGAGCAGCATAATTAGTTCTATAGCGGCACCTACACATTCTACGTCACAGTATGGAGCACTCAGTTATAAAACCCTTTTTACTTAGACGAACATGTTTTATAAAACTTCTAAATTATTTTAAAGGCTTTTGTTAGTGAAGTTGAAGGGGAGTATAGAACGCGCTACTTTATTTTTAACCGACTTCAAAAAGGAGTTCTCAGTTCGACTGTATTTTTTATGTGTTACCTCAGAACTTTTTTCTAGGTGAACTGAGTTTGATGATTCTTTTTATATTAAGAAGCTGGTGCTTCTGATGTGGTCCCATATAAATTTGATAAAGATCTGATCAATAGTTTTTGAATTATCCTTAATAATGCGTATTCAATTGACTTCGATTACGTTGATGATGTTCTCATTTTATTTATATTGAAGTCGGTTGTACAAAAAAAAATTACCACTTGTTTATTGTAATAATATATTAAAAATGTTAGGTCATTTACAGGAATCTATACACATATTCAATTTTTGTATGCGTTTATAATATAGATATAATTGCGCTTCATCTTGCAATTATTTTTAATACTAGTATCGAATATGGTATGTTTCCTGATTTCAAATCTGGTAGTACATTCGACACCGCCAATTTTAGACCAGTTTCTGTACTGCCAACACTTAGTAAGATTTTTGAAAAAAATATTCCTAATCAAATGTAATTTTTTTTTAATGTAGATAGTTTACTTCATAAAAATCAATTCCGTTTTACAAGGGGTCGCTCGACAACTGATGCTGGCAATGAGCTGATTAAATATATTTTCAATGCATGGGAGAATTCACAGGATGCTTTGGGTATATTTTGTAACTTATCCAAAGCCTTCGATTGTGTTCACCGTGAAACATTAATCAGTAAATTTCAACACTACGCTGTAAGAAGTAATACTCTTAAATTAATTGTTTCATATCTAAGTAACAGAACGCAAAAAGTTGTCATTAATAGTATGAGCTCTTCCGGGTCGATAGTATAAATGGGCGTGCCTCAAGGCTCAGTTCTCGGACCCTTTCTGTTCTTGTATATATTAATGACTTACCTTACATAATAGGGGATAACCATAATATATTATTATTTGCTGATGACACTTCATTAATTTTCAAATTAAAACGACAATTATTAAAATATGACGAGGTAAATAATAACTACTATCTTGTAGTAGTACCAGTTACTCGACTCCACCGAGTCAGTAATTCATTCTTGGGCCGTTGTATACACTTTTACAACAAAATTCCAGAAAATGTACAAAATTTAACCTGCTCAAGTTCAAAAATGTTATTAAACAAAGTTTGTATAAAAAGGATTATTGTAATAGGCTTTTTTTTCGAACCAGTGGTAATTAAACAAAAGAGTGACTTTCAATAAGTATTATTTATAATCTATATTGAATAAAAGAGTTTCTGTTTTATTATAGGAGCAAGGAAGTTGAGCCAGTTGCCGTTTAATAGTGAAATGGAACGTTTTATCTTGAAATACAGAGATGTACATCACCACGAAGTAAACAAAATACCGATTGACAATTTACGTTATGTTTTTAATTGATTATATAATTTTAGTTGTTAACATGAACTATAATTAAACGTTTAAAACCCCTTTTCGTTTCGTTTTTTTTTTTAATAATAAGTAGACTTTCTATAATTTAAAACTCAAGGGACCAGAGAAAAATTTCAAATTACGAAGAGTTCAAAATAACAGGAGTTTAGATAACCAAGAGGGAGGGAGGAAAAAATCGAGTAAACGAGAGTTTCATCAAAATTCGTGATTTATTATTTTAAACATTTGTCAAATTTTTCACAAATGTTCATTTTGAAAAGAAATCTCTCTCATTTGTGTAAACAATCGAATGGTTTGAACATGTATGTAAACAAACGATAGGTCTGTGCATGATTAATGTTTCAAATTATTGAGAGTAGGGAAGCCCAGACTTCAAATTATTGCATCTTGGCGTGCAAGATACTATTCCCTCTACTTACCGAGGGGAGTTTATTCAAATTCTTTCAATTTTTTAAACGTGGTAGAGCCATGCTGCAGCTATATTATGGTTGTAGCACGAATAGGTCGGCTCGACCGGGGAAGGACCACGCTCTCACAGAAAACCAGCGTAAAATAGCAGCTTAACGCTGCTGTGTTTCGTATGGTGAGTGTAGAGAACCGGAGACCCTTTTTACTGGCAAAGAGGCATTCCATCTTAGTCCTCACGGGTGACAACGCATCTGCATCTTGAGTCTTTATTGAGGATAGATGTAGATGTCTATGGGTCACAGTAACCACTTACCATCGGGTGGACTGTGTGCTCGTTTGTCCGGGACCGGGAAAAATTAGCAAATTATCGAGAGATTCAAATTAACGAGTGACAAATTATCGAGAGTCCACTATATTAGAGTGACTAACGAGCTAACTACGCTAGTAATTCTTATTCGTTTGTAGAGCTAGCAGTTGTCCATGACTCTGTGTTTGGTTTTCAGTCACATTTTCACCTAAAACAGCGAAATTTTTTCTCACCAAGAAGCTTCAAGACAAGACATGATAGACCAAAGACCAGGCTTACTGTGACCATTTAGTAAGCGTGCGTGTGGTAGGTGGGTTGGCAACCGCAGTGTTTTTATTTTCTAGTTGTTATTGAGAAGACTAGCTGAGCATCGCCTGGTTTGTATCTCTTTTTTGCCTCTTACTCACGGGTCTCTATACACACCTCTTACACCGCCACTACATGGTCATATCGTATACTAAAATCATAGAGAACGTGGATTATGTTTTGTTAATAATTTTCCGTGCAGCGCGCAGGTAAAACGGTTCGTAGGTTTAAACAAAACATTTTAAAAAACAGTAGGAATAAGATTGCTGAACAATACAGGGTTATTTTTCAGAGTAGCCAAATTAAAAAAAAATTAAGCTTAAGTTCAAATATATAAATAATGATATATATACCGTTATTGCAGTTTTTGAAAATACGAGTAAATAAGACTTCTATTTTTATTGAAATTATCCTAAATTGAATGTGATTTATGGGCAACAATGTTTTTGCCAACCGATCGACCCATACGAATGCGTGCGTGCGCAATAAAATTAGTCAAAATAATGCATTACGGCACATTTTGAATTTAAAATATAAAAAGGACAGAATTATTGAGATTTTTAAATTAATTTCTCTTCACTATTTGCCTATATTACTTATAGTGAACCTACTCTGCAAATTTGGCCGGTTATTGCAAAATAACCCTGTACATCTATACGCGAAGGTTTTTACCCCTTTTTAAGCATATTGCGTGCATGGAGGAGTATGATATATGGCACACTTAAAGCTTTAAAGTGTTAAGTTAGTGCAGAAAGATAAAATTAATTTGAAACAAGTATTACAAATTAAAAAAAATACTTTCCGTCAATTGAATAAAACTACTTTTTACGGATTTTATCGCGTTTAATTTTACTATTTTAATTCCCGACGTTTCGGGTGCTTTACAGCAACCCATGGTCACGGGGGGGACTGAGATGTTTGACGTCCCGATGTCATGTTGTTTATTGTTCGTGTCTGTGGTCAACGGTTGTTTATCGTTTCTTTGTACGTACAAATGAGTATATAATCACTATGTTTTAGGCAAAAAAGCGTTTATTTTATATTATTTATATTAGATATCTGTGTTTCATATTTATTAATGAGCAGTTGAAAGTGAAATACAACTTGCTTAATATACAACCCTAAAAATGTTATGAATCTCGAATATATAATAGTCGAATTTCGAACACCAGACGACCATTAGTATGAATAAAAACAATAAAATACTATTACATTATCATTTATTCTATATTCCTTACACAATAGTTATATAACCAATAAAATATATATATTATATTACGTGTATATAAAATTATCTCTGGAATTGTAAGGGACAAATTCTAAGTCCTATAACGTCCTTCCCGATTTCCGCGACGCCACAAACGGGACAAAGCTTCCCCTTGTGCTCTGGCATAAAGCTGGCTCCACACAAGGCACATTTCTCTTCCGGCTTCCCCCTGTATATAGGCTTGTAGCTGATACCGCATATATTGAAGGGGTTGTGTTCATCGTATAGAAGCTGGTGCTCATCTGTGGGTGTTTTCTCGCAGGCTTGCAGGATCTTCCTGGCTTGCTGCGCCACTTCCGGTCTGGGGCCTAGTTCCAGAAGTCTTCTAGCGAAGGACGCGGCGGTCCTGAAGTTTTTGAGTTTGTAGAACATATTCAAGGCCGTCCGCAGAGTCAGGATCTGATGGACCGGCTGCAGCTTACAGTGTGTAAAGTAGGCAGCCATTTCGCATGTGCGCTTCTGCTCCTCTAGTGTGTTCTTCGGCATGGCTGCAAACAGAAACAGATCATTAACATTTAGCAATATCATTTTTAGATTTGTTTTCGACATGTCCCTATATTGTAATAGTAACGTTCTTTGACTGTCTCGTTGGTCTAGTGGTTGTAGTAGTGCGACTGCTGATCATGAGGTCCCGGGTTCGAATCCCGGGTCGAGCCAAAAAATCAGTTATTGAGTTTTTCCATCGAGAAATTCTCAGTAGCTGCCCGAAGTCAGGAAGTTGGCGGTGTCTCACCCCCGTGCCTCGGAAAGCACGTAATGCCGTGGGTCCTGCGCCTGATCTCTCTCCGGTCGTGTCGGATGAGAGTGAGGGAATAGCGACGGCACTGTAATCCTGCCTTGCGCCGATGGCTAATCTCCGTTAAGGCTGGCCGCCGTGACCGAAATCCGGTCTGGAGGACATTATTATTTAGTAGGGTATTTATATAGTTTTCTCATCTGGTTGGGATATATAAATCAAAATGAAAATGATAAATATACACAAATATCAATAAAACAAAAAAAAACATACATAAATAAATAATAACCCAACCAGATGGAAGCCCTCGGCAGGGGAGACCAAATGGCCGAGGGTAGAAGGATAGGGAAAGAAATCGACGGACGATGCGGGCGGCATCGAGGAGCACCGCCTTCTGCATTTGAACTCGGAGCGGTCCGTCACGGAGTCCCAGTCGCCTCAGATGACCTGAAAGGCTGACCGAGATTAGCCCGTTTGCAGAAACGACCACAGGAATAATTTCGGTCGGCGGACCACCCCACATGTCGGTCACCTCGTGAACCAGGTCCAGATATTTTGACTGCTTATCTGTTTCGGCTTTCACGATGTTCTCGTCATATGTCTTCACGACGTTTTTCACGTGGTAGAGCCATGCTGCTGCTATATTAGTACTATAGTTGTAGCACGAATGGGTCGGCTCGACCGGGGAAGGACCACGCTCTCACAGAATACCAGCGTAAAATGTCAGCTTGACACTGCTGTGTTTCGTATGGTGAGTGTAGAGAACCGGAGACCCATTTTACTGGAAAAGAGACATTCTATCTAACTCCTCACGGGTGACGACGCAACTTGGCTTCCGGCAAGTACTTATAATAAGGCAGTTACCGAACCACGAGACGAGATATAGAGCGAGCTCCTGGTGTATAATCCTGGCTATTAGGTTGTGCCTGTGCAAGTACTCAGAGTCAGAAAGTGCCAAACAACCAGAGATGACATGCCTAACTCAACGGGATGGCGACAAACTCGACAGATGTCGACGGTGCGATCCTTTAGGATATATCTCCGATAATCTTAATAACCTAATCCTGTATTGCACAGAAAAAACCCTCGGTTTCCCCGAAGAGGTCACCGAAACGTAGACAGTTGAGGGAGGCAACTGTGTCTACGAAAGGCTCGGTAGAGCCTTGGGAAACCTCCCGTGGAGCTCCGGGTCTTGCCATTGCTCGTTGGCTAAGGATAGATGGGTAAGTCCTTTATCACAAGAAATAACGTCCCTATAGAATGGATCATCCACACTCGTCAGAAAGTAATTACGGAGGCTGCACACTTCGCGATTATGCATGGTAAGCGCGCTTAAAGAGCCGCGCCCACCATGTTTCCGCAGCAAGTACAGCCTCATTACTGACGACCTCGGATGATACATCCTGTGGGACGTCTTAAAAGTGCGGACTTTTCTATCCAGAGCCTTCAGTTCGGTCTGAGTCCACCTGAGTATGCCAAAGATATACATGAGAACAGGCATGATCCAACCGTTATATGCATGTGTCTTATTAACGCCCAACAAAAGACTGTTTAGCTCTTTTGTCAAGCGTGCATAAAACACATCGCAAACTGACTGTTTCATGACCGCCTCATCGATACCTATGTTCTCTGACATACCCAGGTATCGGTACGGACGCACACTTATCCGTCCCCAGCTCCATTCTAATAGAATTGCTAAAATCACAAGTGATGTTTAGCAATTTCATAAGATTGGAGCAACTGGGGGCGAATAACTTGAGATCATCCATATAGAAAAGGTGGGTCACTCTTGTACCTCCATTCCAAAGCTGAAATTCCCTCCCGGAACCCTCCAGTAACTGAGAGGATTCAGAGAGAGGCAGAACCA